ATCTATCTATCTATCTATCTATCTATCTATCTATCTATCTATCTATCTATCTATCATTTTCACACACATGCACACTCACCTCTACCTTACACACACATATTCTCACACCCATGCAGAAACGCACACTGACACATAATTGGGCTATGCACTCTTCGAAAAGTGAAGATTCAGCAACTTGTTCAATTTTGTACAATGTGACCTTATTCTCTTGCGAGGGCCGTAAGCCTTTTACCTAACTAAGTAAAAAATTTTCAAATGTTTGCTGCGGACACTTTTGCCTTGGGTAGGCCCTACTGTTTTTGCCTCCTTCTGTTAGTTTTGTCTATCAGTCTTGATTTCTTTCTTTGATATGTTGTCTTTACTCTCAAACACTCTTGCAGCAGGTGGTTGGAGGGCGCCACTGGTAGGTCCTACTTCTTTTCCTTCCCTCTTTTGTTTCTGTGAATCTATCTTGCTTCTTCCCTGCACTACATGACCATTATTGTGTGGATGTGATTCAATTTACTCAAACTTAACCTCAAACACTCTTGTCACTGTCATAATTTGTGCAGTTTCGTACTTTTTTTTCAGTGTGTGTCTTGGTGTTGAGTTAGTTCGGAACAGAATATTTAGTTTGTCCCTTTTTGTTGTTGTCATTAAAAAAAATTTTTTTTTGTCCCTTGTCCTGATGTGGTGTCAAATGTTGTTAAGCTATACATAGAATGTGTTAATGTTGTAGTTTCTGTTAAAGTAAGCTTGTTCGGAATAACAAAAAGTGGGGAGTGGGGGTTTGTTGGGTTTTTTTGTTACATGATAATAATTTTGATGTTTTACACTCATGATGATGACGATGTCAATGATGATGATGATGAGCATGTTGATGAGGATGTCAGTGATGATGTTGAGATGGTGAGGATGGCGATGTCGATGTTGGTGATGATGACGATGTCAGTGTTGATGATGATGATGAGTTTTCCCTGTTTGTCTCCAGTCCATACCCCGGGACGACCAGAAGATCCGATCCCTTCTTGTGCCTGGCACCCTGTTCCTGTACCAGATCCCGCCCCCGCCCCTCATCCAGCCAATGACGGAAGAGGAGGAGACCAACTACACCCCGATGAATTCTGACCCCAACTCTGGCAGTCGGGAGAGTCTGGAGTCATGGGATGTGCAGAGAGGCTCCGTCGGGAAAGGTGAGTACATGACTGATGACTGAAAAATTTTGTATCATTATTTTATGGTTCAGATACCAGCACATGAAATCGTTTCATAGGTGGTTGGCGGGTGCTCTGATCTGGTTTGCTCCTTCTTTCTTTTCAAACATTTATCGTCCTTATCTCTCCTTACTAGTTTTTTAAAAAAATTTTGTTACTCTCTTGTGACACTTCTATTCTTCGGCACTTATATGACCTTATTGTGTTAGAAGTGCCGTAATGTTCTTACTAAAACTATCTGAAATCGTTTCATCATTGGCATCAATTTATTAAAGCAGCATCCAAGAAGCTGACCGTGAACTTATAATGGTAATCATTGAAAGGAAGAAAGCTCAAACAGGCATGTTACATAATAAAAATCTCAGAAAATTATGGGTTAGAATTCTGAAGTAAATTTGAAATATTGAGGGCAATGGAAGAAAAAAAAAAGGCACAAGGCGAATTTGGCCACCTAAGTACAAGATGTTTTTTTTGGTCAACAGCCAAGGACCAGATACCAAAAAAATAGGGATTGTCAGGAATCCTACAATCCAAAAGTGCCACTTGAAAAAAGAAAAGTGTCTACTTGTCTGTTTGTCTGTCTCTGTTCTCTGTCTCTTGTCGCTATTCTCTGTCTCTGTGTCTGTTCATCTATTGGTGTTTAGACAAGATAATGGGTTGCTATGAAAACTGCATAGTACTATATGTCGCCATACCATAATTAGTGTACATTTCAGTTTTCCGACTACTTTTCATTTTACCAAGTGTACGTTTCTGTTCCCCAGGAAGCCCCCAAATCCAGATCAGTGCCCAAAACAGCCCAAAGTTCAATGGCCAGCCTCCGCAGATGAGTGGTGGGCCGGGCCCCGCCAACACCCGCTCGCCCACCCACTCCCGCAGCCCCAGCAACACCAGCTGTGCCAACCTGGGGGCCGCCCCGGACAGCTTCGAAAACTTCATCGTCGGAATGCACCGAAAAATGGTGAGCTGGCTGCTTAATTAGTTTTTAGTTAGGTTTTACAGCGCTCGCAACTTCATATGAGCACCAAGGGGTGGATGTCAACAGAGAAGTTCAAATGGGGAATCAGGCTTACTCTGCTTTAGCTTCATCAGCACAAAGTCTGCTTCGACTATCAAGGCACCCAGAAATACCAGTTTACAAGAGAGTGACAAACATACGAAAGAAGTAGAGGAAAAATGACGATAGTAAGGATGAGGAAAGAAAAAGCAGCAGTTCCCCCTATGTTGGTCCGGCACAGTATGAGCATGACATTGATAAATCAGCCCATTTACAATTCTACTGTGCATAAGAACATGTTAATATCCCCCATTTGGGAATTGCCTAAAGACAATTCAGTCTGTGAGCTGGCTGCTTTGGTGAAATGGTCAAATGGCATAGGTTTAACGCCCCTATCAACACTGTAAGGTTATTTAAGAGGCGGGACCTCCGAGTTTAACGTCCATGTCCGAAAGGACAGAGCCAAGTGGGAAATTCGTGTAAAGTGCCTTTCCCAAGGGCACAACGTCGGACCGAGCTGAGACTCGAACCCCGAACCCGTAATCTTACGATTATGAGTCCAGTAGCCTTATCACTAGACTACCGACGCCACTGTGGCTGCTTTGCTTACATGTGCATAAAATCCTATCTATCCTTGTCGTCATCGTCTAACCACACATGTGCCAGCAGGTAAAGTATTACAGGACAGACCCCAAAAAACCAAACGAGTTTGCCATAGTCAGTGCTCTTCTGACTGTGTGATTTTTGTCAGGGCAAAGCTTTAGCATCCCTCTAAAGAATGTCACCTTGTGTGAGAGACATTGTTTCTGCCTTTTAAAGCAATAAAAAATGTTTGAGAAATTTGAAGCTTATACAATTAGACTACGACAGAGATGATATACTTTTTAAAAAAAGTGTATTCCTGCACTGTGTGTATTTAGTAATCATTTGTGATTGTGATTGCAATTAATGTTTTATTTCCTGGTCGACACAAAATATTTTTGGTCAGTATATTCCTGCCTTTTGTTTTCAGTTGCCACTTACAGTTGTATATAGCTTTTACTGTATATTTTAAAAAACCTCAACCATTTGACTTGCAAAGTGTAACCAAGCCGTGCTCTGAACTAACGTGAAAACAACCAACTTGTGTCCCGCACGCTAATATGACCTTATGCATTTGTGAGCACTGTAAAACTCTTACCTGGGGGCTCTCGTGGCCTAGAGGTTAAGGTGTTCGCCTCTCATTCAAAGGTCCCGGGTTTGAATCCGGTTAACGTCGGAAAAATTTTCTTCTCTAAAGTTGCCTCCTTTCACCCCCTTTCCTGCTCTCTTGCAATATTCTGTGGTCTGCTTTCGTCTCCACTTTCTGCCCCCACCCTCACCTCCTTTGCCCCCTCCGCTGGGCTCCTGACTCTTTCTGCAGCCTTTCCACTGCTTTTTCTTAGCTCCTTCTTTCTGCTGTCTTTCAGCCTCACCCCTGATCTTCTGGTAGGAAAGACGTACGTTATAGATCCCTTGGTAGTCCAAAATCGATAAGAGTAGGCTTGGGCCGCCGCCCGGGCAAAATTCAAAATTTCCTACCCACTGAAAATGTTAGGTGTGTCATGCGCGCTCATATAACCTTATGCAGTTGCCAATGCCGTAAAAAAAAACTTACCAACCCCCCCCCCCCCCCCCAAGACCCCCCCCCCCTCACCAACTTTTATGTATAATTGTGACTGTAAGTGTTTTACCACCACATCAACACAATCTAGCTCACGTAGGCCAAGGGTAAAGTTGTAATGAGTTGATTGTAATGAGTATTGATTGTGCACGTCAGGGCAACTCCAAGACTGACTGGGGTTGAGCTCCCCAGCAGACAGATGAAGATACTCTGTGAAACTCACATCTTCTGGGTGTCACAGTGCAGAGTGGTAGGTCCTACTTCTTGACTTTCCCACCTCTTGCTTCTGTCTGTCTGTCTGTCTTACTTTTTCCCAGCAGCAAATGACCATCATTGTGGTGATGTGCTTCTTTACTCAAACAAACATACAAACAAATCTTTTTTATTGTGGTTTGTGGGTAGTTGGCGGATGTTCTGGTGTGGTTTGCTTCTTCTTTCCTATCAAACATCTATCCTCTTTATCTCCCCTCCTTCTTTTTTGTGTTTGTTACTCTCTTGTAACACCTCTAGTCTTCGGTCCTTATATGACCTTATTATGTTGCAAGTGCCGTAAAACACTTACTAAAACTAAACTTATGGTGGGTTTTTTTTCCCAGAACCTTATGGACGTGTTCTTTCTGTCGTCGCAAAAATCGCGACCGAGCTTGTTCGGCACGCCCCTGATGATTCCGTGCAGCGAGACCACGACCAACCAGGAGCTCTACCAGTTTGTCTGGACACAGATCGCCCGGCTGGTCAGCCCGCTGCCACCCTCGGAGACGAAGGTGACCAACCACGCTCTGGACTGGTGAGTTGAGATTGTCTGCCTTTTCCTCGGACACAGATGAATTACCTGTTGTGTTTGTTTTGTTTTTCTTTTTTGGGTGCATTTTTTGTTTTGTTTTTGGTCTCCTTTTTTTTTATCCTTGAGCCTTAAGTCTGCCAATGAAATCTCATTCACATTTTATGAAATGGTATAAAGTGAATTTTGACTCTTTGGGTCCTGGTGTCTGATATGTTGCTAATTTTTATTTTCACGATTTTTAGATATTATGTTAGAGATGATTACCTTTTTGTTTATTTTTCCTCATTCTGTGGTTGAAAAAAGTTGGTTGTCCATGGGAAATACAGGTAATATTTAGTTAACTTTTTTTTTAAAGTACAAAAACAACTTTGGCTCCCCAATAGCAGACGTACACTATAAGCCTCAAAGAACAAATAATTTTTGCTATATGTTTGGACATGCTGACAAACTGAGTTACTTTTCAATCCACAAATTGACTCTGGGATCATATTTGTAGATTTTGAATTGATACCATAATCTTTGAAGCTTGACTTGTCTTTTATCATTTCATACTTATAAATTGTGCAAACTCCACCTATAAATATGATGTATAAATTTTCTATAGGGCTAAAATCCGAGAAGTAGTTAATTTTGATAGAATGCCTCATGTATGCTTTTTATACAAAATAATTTCACCTAAGGCAGGGTCTGTAATGTAAGGAAACTCTTCTTCTGTATGGGGATGTAATCTGTAATCTGTTCCCCTCCCGATCTGTACCTAAAACCTTGCAGAACCTAATGGCCGTCTTAAAGAACTGATTATGTGTTGAATGTTGTGTGTGTTGTGTGCTTGTCCTCAGCGATGACAGCCTGGGCTATGAGTACCCGTTCATGCTGAAGCAGGTACAGAGGGACTGTCTGCTGTGTGCCCGCTGTCCTTGGTACAGGTAAACAAAGCACTGTTGGATTAATAGGTTATATATTTATTTGGGGTGTTTTTTTTGTTGTTTGCTTACAGTTGGGAATTAGGGTTTGGTTTCGGGAGGGGGGGGGGGTGGGTGGGGGTTGGTGGACTGTCTTCGGTGGGCCTGCTGCCCCTGGTACAGGTAAACAAAGCAAGCACTGTTGGATTAAATAAGTTGTTTGTTTGGGTTTTTTGTTTGGCCTCAATAAGTTAATAGGTTAAGCAGTTGGGAATTGGGTTGGAATTGAAAGAGTGGGGGGGGGGGGGGGGGAGGCTGAGCTTTTTTTTTTACAGCTTTTGTTTTTTGGGGCAAGGCTAAAGTATGTCTTTGGAGGCATCCACAGAGAAGAGAGCAATAAAGAGAAAGAGGGAAAGGCAGCAGAGAGACAGTGAGGGGGGGGGGGGGGGGAGTGGCATAAAGGGAGAGTGCTAGGGAAGGGAGAGGAGGGAGGGAGAGTGGGTGGAATTGATCATCATATGCATTGTCTCCTGTTGCACATATGCTGATAACTCTGTTTATGTTGTGTGGCAGTTCAACTACGTTCTCACTGTTCAAAATTAATTGTTCTTCTCTTTATTCAAACAAACAAACAAACAAACATTGGTGGGTCATTGATTTGCACTCTGGTTTAGTTTGCTCTTTCTTTCCAACCAAATATCCAACTTCCGTACCTCTCCTCCTTTTCATTGTATGTTACTCTCTAGTCAAACCTCTACTCTTCAGCACTTCAATTACCTATTTGTGTTGCTAGTGCCGTAAAACTCTTAATAAAACCAAACATTGTATCTACACTACAGGTTCTGCCGTGGCTGTAAGGTGGAATGTAATGGAGAGCTTTATGGCAAAGGGAGCTCCTACCTGGCTATTGACTGGGAGGCCACGGCTCTTCACCTCCGCTACCAGACCACTCAGGAAAAGGTTGGTAATTAATACACCGTTTTTGTTTTAAAAATTCTCTTACTTCGACCCTACGTTGTGATTTAAGGTCTTTTAACTCTTTATGTTTTGCAAGCCACTGTCAGCAACATGGGGTCAGACCCGTTGTGAATTCCTTGCTTTACCATTGGTCCGGTATGTTTTCTTTCACTGTCTACACACACACACAACATATTTTGACAGCTTACTCTAAGATTCTGTCACCCCCCAGGGCAGTGCCACTGACTGAAGTTTCTTTAGGCTATTCCCAAAGAGGGGACATTAACCATGTTCTTATGCGCAGTAGAATTGTAAATGGGCTGATTTATCAATGTCATGTTCATACTGTGCCGGAACAACATAGGGGGAACTGCTGCTTTTTCTTTCCGTATCCTTACCATCGTCATTTTCCTCTACTTCTTTTGTCTGTTTGTCACCCTCTTGTGACCTGCTATTTCTGGGTGCCTTGATAGTCGAAGCAGACTTTGTGCTGTTGAAGCTAGAGAGGTGAGCAGAGTAAGCCTGATTCCCTGTTAGGACTTCTCTGTCGACATCCACCCCTTGGCGCTCATATGACCTTATGCAGTTGCATGAGTACACTTGATTCACAACATCTACAACAACGCTTATGTGGTGAAGTGAGCTTCATAATGTTGCGGGCAGTATTGCATGCAGACGTCAGTAATTTTTTACGGCCTTTGGGATACGTCAGTATGCAATACTGCCCGCAATGTGTTCTTTGTCAGTTGTCATTTATCAGTGTTGTTAGTGTTTGGGTGCTTAATCAGCTGCTTGCACTGTATGCTTCAGAGGAAGCTGAAAATGTTTCTGAGTGTTCTAGCATCTGCTGGGGCAATGATAGTAATATATGTAAAGCGCTTTGAGCTTGCTGTTGAGTGGAGATACACCCTGTATAAATACTCTTTATTGTTATTATTATTGTTGTTGTTGTTGTTGTTGTTGTTGTTGTTGTTGTTGTTGTTGTTGGTGTTGGTGTTGGTGTTGGTGTTGGTGTTGTTGTTGTTGTTGTTGGTGTTGGTGTTGGTGTTGTTGGTGTTGTTGGTGTTGTTTTTGGTGCTGCTGCTGCTGCTGCTGCTGCTGCTGCTGCTGCTGCTGCTGCTGCTCCTCCTCCTCTTCCTCCTGCTCCTCCTCCTCTTCCTCCTCCTCCTGTTCCTCCGCCTCCTCCTGCTCCTCCTCCTCCTCCTCCTCCTCCTTATTTTTAATATTATTTGTAATGTTATTATTTTCATAATTGTTATTTTTACTGTTATTATTATTATTTTTATTATTTTATTTTTATTATGATTAGTATTATTATTTTTTTTTAGTTTTAAATTTTCATTATGGTTATGATTATTATTATTATCATTATCATCATTATTTGCCAGTACTACGAGGAGCACCCGAGCGTGGCCCAGAGCCGGCAGAAGCAGACGGAGCCCATCGACCTGGACGCGTGCCTGCAGGCCTTCACCCAGTGGGAGGAGCTGGAGGAGGACGAGCTCTACTACTGCTCCAAGTGCAAGACCCACTGCCTGGCCGCCAAGAAGCTGGACATCTGGAGGCTGCCACCCATACTGGTCAGTTCTCTGCTGGACGTGAAGGGTAGCGGGTAGTGAAAGATCTTGTTAGGTTCTGCTGGACCTAAAGGGTCACCGTCATCATTGCCTTTTTCACCCTGGATCAGGATATAGGCCACGGACAAACATTTTCCTCCTTTCTCTATCTTGGGCGAGTCGCTTGATGTCACTCCATGTCTTCCCACTTTTCTGTACATCCATTTCTGTGACTCTTCTCCAGGTACCACATGGTCTTCCCCTTGATCTTTTACCCTGTGGGTTCCAATCTAACACTTTCTTTGTTGTGCAGCAGCTTGACTACATGAAAATGTGTCCAATCCATCGCCAATGCCTTCTTCCCACCTCATCTCTGATTGGGCTCTGTCTCATTCTTCTTAATACTTCATAGCTGGTAATCCTGTCTGTCCATCTGATCCTCAGTAGCTTCTTCAGACACTTGTTCAAGAAAACCTGGATCCTCTTTTTGCACGTCTGAGATGCATTCCATGTCTCACATCCTTACAACAGGACTGACTTCACATTTCGGCAGGGTATCGAAAAGTGAAAGATCTTGTCAAGTTCTGAAGGACTAAAGGGTATTGGGTAGTGAGAGATCTTGTCAAGTTCTGCTGGACTAAAGGGTATCGGGTAGTGAAAGATCTTGTCAAGTTCTTCTGGATCTAAGGGGTATCGGATAGTGAATGATCTTGACAGATTGTCAGTTTGTTAGTGTTTGAACGGGTACTAATACTGAGCGCGTGCTCTCCGCTACTTGCACTGTATGGTTCTTTGGCATCTGAAGTATGCAAAAAAACAAAAAGTCAGTAGTGAAACCTGTGTGGGTGATTGACGGGTGCTCTGATATGGTTTGCTCCATCTTTCTTATTAAACATCTTTTGTGTGTGTTTGTTACTCGCTTGTAACGCCTCTAATCTTCGGCTCTTATATGACCTAAATGTGTTGCAAAACACTTACTAATACAAAAGTGAAGGCTGTTTATAGTTATATTTGACATTATCATTGTCTCTCCTTTCAGATTATATATCTTATGTCTCTCTTTTTAGATTATACATCTTTTGTCTCTCTTTTTAGATTAACAATCTTTTGTCTCTCCTTGTAGAGTAGCAGTCTTTTGTCTCTCCTTTTAAATTGTAAAACTTTATCTCCCTTCAGATTGTCAGTCTTTTGCCCTTTAGATGATCAATCTTTTGTCTCTTCTTTTAAACTGTTAATCTTTTTCATCTCCCTTTAGATTATCAATTTTTTGTCTCTCCCTTTAAAATATATATCTTTTGTCTCTCTTTTTAGATTAATTATCTGCTGTCACTATCTTTTGTCTCTCCTTTTAGATTATCAATCTTTTGTCTTATCTCTGTCTTTTGTCTCTCCTTTTAGATTAACTATCTTTTGTTTCTCCTTTTAGATTATCAATCTTTTGTTTCTTCGTTTAGATTATCAACCTGAAGAGGTTCCAGTACCTCAACGGCCGCTGGGTCAAGTCTCACAAGATTGTCAATTTTCCACTGCGCGGCTTCGACCCGTCCGCTTACTTAGCCGCCCGTGACCCGGAGGACAGCAGTACCACCACCGCAGCAGCCACCACCAACACAATGTCCGTTCCCGCCGAGAGCAAGAAAACGTTGTCAGAACCTCCGCCAGTGACCAAATCCAACGGCACTGACATGGACCAGGAAAAGGAAGTACCGCTTGAGTCATCAGGCTTCACGAGCTATATCGGCAAAGTCTCCGACTCCACAAACAATAATGTGGGTTGCGGAGCTGTGACGACGACAACGACAGCAGTGTCTTCTTCGTCCTTGTCCTCGTCCTCATCCTCCTCATCATCCTCTACAGCTATCAGCAGCAGCAAACACAACCCAGGTCTTTCAGCATTATGTATGCCAGCCAGCACCATTGCCGCACCAGGTCAGCTCACAGAGGGATCGCAGGTCAGTGGAACTTCTCACTATAATGAAGAAAGTTCTGTGCATACATACTCGTCTCCCTCTCCCCCCCCCCCTTCCCAAACCATTTTTTATTCCTTTTACATACATGTTCCTTCTTCTTTAAGTACCAGATCTGATACAGACATAAACATATCATGGTTTACCGTTATTTCTCTGCTTGGATTCTATGGGGGAAAAAAACCAAACAAAAAACTATATTGTCTCGATCTTTTACCATCACCTATCTGTTTAAGTTCCCTAAGTATGTTATTCCCGCTTAACCCCTGCCTCTTTTGCTTACAAGTCTAAATTACTTATATTTTGACCTCTCTTCTAATAGTGTCTTCACAAATGGGAAATATTTGAAAAATCATTGTAAAAGGTTCATGTACCTTGTAAACAGGCCCCTTCATTTATATGTGCATCTGGAAAAGCAGGATTAAATGAATTTGGGGTACAGTTTTTAATGTATAATTTACTAATCTTTGCAGACATGAAGCCATCCATATCTGGTGGTGTATTTGAATGAGGCACAAGTGTGCTGCATTGTCTGTTTTGTCGTTGTGTGGGCTGTCAGTTTAAGGAAATGAAGTTAGAGTGCTTTTTTTTTTTTTTGCCTTTATACTCTTTTTTTCGGACAAATTGTGTTTATAGTCTTTATTTTGAGAAATGTCATTTATCTGTCTTCTTACCAACAACATTAATTTCCAGTAATAAATTGTCCAAGATCATGATCTTTAAAATTCTACCTTCATTAATAAAACTTCTACTATACTTTTTAAGACTACAAACCACATGAATGTGGTTTTTTAACTGCGAGACTTGTTACCGATTCTGTTGAGTTTTGTTTTTGAGATATCATACTCAGAACCTGCGCTCATTATCCAGATTTGCTCTTGGAAACCTTTACAACAACAAAAAATATGTTGTATGTTGTTCATGTGTTGTCAATAAATTATCTTTTTCTCTTTTCCTTGCAGATTTCAAAAGTCATATCCAACCCTGGGCTAGTCAAAGCCTTGGTCAATGGCAAAGCAGGAAATGCCCCTTTGAGTGTTGGTTAGTATAATAAACGGCATGCTTTTAATACAGTCATGTATATGTACGTTTACTAATTTCAGTCTCTGAGCTTTTTTTGGGCTGTTCTTTCAGGCAATACTTGATTCTTGATGACCTTTCGGTTTGGATTTTGGTGGTTTTTTCATGAACACAATGTTATAGGTGATCGGTTTTGACTTCATGGTTATTTTGTTTCCTTTATGCTTTGGAAGACAAGTTTTGAAAAGCAACATCAGGACAACTTTTTTTGACCTTTCCTAACTCTGTGAGTGTTATGCATTAACCTTATCCGTACGTCATGTTATACTTTTGTATCCATACGATGTGGGTAACTCTGTGCCACCACTTTCCAAAAAGGAAATTTACTAGTTAATCCGATCTGTACGCTTTGCATAGCTGTCTGTCAAAATGATTTTTGAGAGATACTGAAAGTTTCAAAGATCTCATACTAGAAGTATTCTAAAGTGTGAAGAATACAACCCCGTGGGTACAAAATGACCCAAGGGCGTACAGATAGGGTTAAAAGAAGCAAAACACCTCTGTGGGGAAAAAAAACAGAGTTGTTCTGGAAGATTCCAGTCGCTAATTTTAAACATAAATGCTTTTAAACCTAAAAATGATACGATTGTCTCATCTTTTAAGTGCAATTCCTATTGATATGTATCACCTTGTCTGTAATAAAGATATAATCTGATTAAATTTTAGAACGCCAACACGTTAGTGTGCCAGTCAGGGAAAAGTGTGTCTGAAGTTGCTCATTGTTAAGTTGTAGATTTTGTGTTGTCAACTGTTTTGTTTTCTTTGATTTTGTGTTGACAACTGTTTTTGTTTTCTCTGCTCCAGAGGACCGGCTGCAAGTGTTTGACAGAGAGGACCACTCCAATGCCCGCTACAACCTCTATGCCATGTCGGTGAGTCAGCCTGATGAGTTATTTGGGAGGGGGGAGGCAGGTGGGAGGGGAGGGAGGGAAACTTCTATCAGCTGTACAATCATTGTTGTCCCCAAGAACTTTATAGAGTATGTAGAGTTTCTGAGAAGAGGTAGGAGGTTTTTTTTCCACAATTTTTTCCCTTTCATATTTTCTCTTATTAAGTGACAGGAATCCTTGTTCTCGTTCTTGTTCTTTTTCTCCTCTGGTTTGAGGACACCACTTGTTTGTACTTTGTGTCATTATCTTTGCCTGTGGGTGGTTGGTGGGTGCCTTGATGTGGTTTGCTCCTTCTTTCCTATCAAACATGAGTCATCCTATCTCTCCTCCTCCTTTTTATTTGTATTCTACTATCTTGTGACACCTCCTTATCTTCTGCACTTACATTACCTAATTTTGTTGCAAGTGCTGTAAAACTCTTTCTAAAACAAAATCATCTCACCTTCTTGTTATATACTTTTGATTTTTTTAAAAAGAGTTAAGAGTGTTAACTTAGTTTTAAAAAGCTACGAGTTCCAAACATTTGTGCATTTTTTAGTAGAAATTATTGTGTATAAATTTCGAACCGGGACTTGTATATTCTAATGTTCTCCTTTTAGTGAGTGTGGTTCGCTCCTTCTTTCCTATTAAACATCCGTCTCCCTTATCTCTCCTTCTTTTATTTGCATGTTATTATATAGACACACCTCTAATCTTTGGCACCTATATGACCTAATTGTGTTGCAAGGGCCGTTCAACTCATACTAAAACTAAATGTACCCCTCTCTGTTTTTTGCTGTTTCAGTGTCACACTGGCATATTGGGAGGAGGACATTACGTGGCGTACGCCAAGAGTACAAACCAGCGCTGGTTCTGCTACAATGACAGTAGTTGTAAGGTAAAAAAAAACAGTTCTGTAATAATGTAGACCTACTAAGGTTTCACCACTTTCCAGCTCATAGTAGTACATCTTTGCATGTATGAAGCAAGGTGTGGGTGCGATCAAGACCATGGCGGCTGCTCTGATTCCAGAGAGAGTGCTCTTCCTGATGTTGCAGCTGGTCGTCCTGTCTGTCATTGATTACGGATTGGGCTGTCTCACGCTGTCCGACACACAGATCGCAAAGCTGGATCGAGTTCAGAATGAGGCAATGAGAGCAGTGCTGGGCTGCACCAAGGACACTCCAATATTGTGCATGCGCTACTTGCTAGGTTTAAGTGGCATCAGAGTACGCCATAAGATAGCTCAAGTAAAGATGTATCTCCATGTAATGGGCGAGAATGATCATCCACTTCACATAGCACTTCATGACAACAAAAGAGGCAGTATCAAAAGAGGAAAATCTTGGATGGCGGAAGCAGAGAATTCCTTCTGAAAAATCTGTGTACCTGAGAACCTACCACTTGGCAAAAGATGGGAACAGGTGACAGGAGAATACAGGGACCTCACCAAGGTCAAAACAAGCATGGGCAGAGACAGAAGAAATGTTGTGGCTTCCATCAATGAGAGTGATATCAAAGAGATTGTTGACAAAAACTCAAAAGCAGGGGATCCTGTAATTTATACAGATGGTTCAGAGAAAAGAAATAGCCAGAGAAGTGGATGGGGATTTGTTGCTTTCGCCAACAATAAAATCATACACAGTGCATCTGGAGCCTGCAGCAGGGCTACATCAAGTACGCGAATAGAAATTGAAGCCATCACGAAAGCACTTGAATGGATGACCCAAGATCACCCCCAAACAACCCATGCTGTTCTCATCACTGATTCCATGTGTACCCTCAGAAGGATCGAAAAAGGTTTCCTGAGAACGAATGGATTCAACTTATCGAAGCAACGCCTATACGATCGCTAACATGGATTTTCTGCCCCCGCCATGTAGGTGTTAAGGGAAATGAAAAAACTGACAGATTGGCTGGTGAGGCCACCTCAGTTGACAATACGGTTCAACCAGATAGGGTTGAGATCCTGAAATGTCTCTCTCGCCAGCTGATTGAGGAGGAAGATAGGGAGGCAGAGGCCAGCACTGCTGTGGAGAGGATGATGCTTTTGGGAATACAAAAAGGAAGCGGAAAATCTGGCATCCTTGCTGGAAAGAACAAAAGTACGTTCAACCAGCTGTGCACTGGCGCTGTCAGTGGAAAGACCCTCGGCGACATTTTGGAGAGAGCAACTGAGCATCAATGGACATGTCCAGAATGCAGGGATGTTGCTTCCTGAAACAATGAACAATGATTCATGTATGCAACCCTTCTCAAAAATGTCCATGAAAATACATATCTCCCATGAAGCTCATTTTTAAAATAAGATTCGCTCAATGCACAGTTTCTAATCCAAATTACAGTCACTCAATAAAATATTGTGCTTTTTTAAATACATTTTTTATTGCATGTAGGGAAGTTAAAAGGCTTTCATCCAGCAGAGTCATCATAAAATGCCAAAACGAAGAACTTTGATTTCCCAGGATCCCATTTCACGCATGTCATATATATATACATTCTAAATTAATTGAGTTTCTAGCTAAAATTAAGAAGTTGTGCTGAAGATAATATGATATTCATATAGATATTTTTTTAACTCATTTTTTTTTTTTGAAAACCAAATTGTTGTATGCAAGCTTTCTCCACTGCGGTTGTCCATAGGAAATCCCAGAGCAGCAGCTGGACAAGAAGTCGGCCTACATCCTGTTTTACGAGCGAGAAGGGGTGGAGTTCAGCCAGTTCATGCCGGACACCACGGGCTGCGAGCCTGACCTGGCGGAGATAGACGACGAGTTCGAGTCTGACCTGAAGAGGATGTGCGTGCTCCAGTAAACGCCTCGTGGCTGTCCACAGGGTGAAGATAAATTCCGAGTGATATAGACAACTTTTGTAGACTGCTGATGTGATGAACACACACACAAACGTTTGGTCCGGAGGTCTGAAGGTCGTCCAGCTAACCTTATGGAGTTATAGAGGTCTGACTGAATCGGGTGATGAAAATGCATCTGTTGGTGTGGTGGCCGTGTCTCTAACTATGTGATGATTGTGTAAGTGATGATGTGATGATCACCAATGTTGTTATATGTGTGTGGTCTAATGACTGATAATTCTAATGATCTTATGTACAGTGGAACTCGTTTAACTGGAATGCAAGTAACTCGACAATGCTTATTCTTGGAGCTGAATTTTCTAGGTCACAAGTTTTTCCTTTTTATATTCTTTGTATTTATATCATGGGACACTGGCACCAAAGTATGGATCGCTCGAACAAATTTTCCTGCTGATGAAATTGATTAGGTGAAATGGACAAGAGACCATCGACTTAGTTTCTCTTTGTATGTCAGTATGATCAGTAGAGAGGACCATTACAGGAAGAGATCATATACCGTGCTGTCTCTTAAGGTATTGAAATCAGGGTGAGCAGATCCATGATATTGCAAGAGAAAAGAAAGGCGGGGGAGGGGGGGTGTGCTTTGCATGGTTTCCTTTATGTTGTGTAAGGTCATGTTAAATAGGTCTCAGAGAACAGAGCAATACAGAGAAAGGGTTGGGAAGACATGTTACTTTTTACAATGTTCTCCCATGATGGCATATATTGCAGAATTCACACTTCTATGCTAAGCCTTTGCTGAAGTATTTTTTTCTCAGGTGAATGAAAGAGAGTGGCGACTATCTTGGCAGTTGGATAATGCTATAATAGGTACAGCTTTGTGTAATATCTACTGACTGTCACAGATACTTTTTTTTTTTGTTATTGAAAATACCTGGGAAACATTTAAATCATGTATTTCTTGAATTACTGCATACATGGTCAAGGGGACGTGGTTGTGATAAAATGTGAGTTTACCATGCTCCTACTGTTCATTGCTGATGATCTAGGCAAAAGGAAACTGATGATACAATAATGTTGCAACTTTTTAAATACAGTATTCCCCGCAACTTATGTTGCAACGATCATTTTGATAATTAGGATTTGTTTTTAAAAACTGACTCGAGCTAAAGTGATCTCACTGCGGCCTGGTACTCTAAACTTACTGTTGGGTGATTGGCAATCGCTTCATGAGGTGTGTGTGTTTGTGCCTCTGTGTGTGTGGTAAGTGTTTTGCGGAGCTCACAACTGCATAATGTCATATGACTCTGTGTGTGTGGATGTCATGAACTATGTAGTACAATGGTTGTTTGCTTTATTTTTCACACAACAAAGATGACTTTGCTGTGTGGGGTACCGTAAAATATTGACCGTAGAAGTTGCAGTCCCCTTTGAGGACAGCCTAGCTGTGTTTTATATATATATAGTATACTCCTGGCTGTGTGTTTTATATATATATAGTATACTCCTGGCTGTGGTTGCAGTTGTCACTTGGCTGGCTGTGAGGTTCACTGACTGCTCTATGGTACCATGACGACTTGTTTGTGATGTTTTCAGCTACATTGGTTTTTGGGGTTGTTGTTTTTTAAAGATCAGTGATTTTGGCCTGCCAAATATAAAAAGAAATTATTATTATTTTTGGTTTTGTTTTTAAGTCAGTGGTTTTGGTCTGCCAAATATGAATTATTTGATGATTTTATTGGGATTTTAGCTGCTGGCCAAATAACTGGAAGGAAATCATGTCCAGTGTTTTTGTCTGGATAGGTGATTGGTTTTTTGTCTGGGATTTCACATTGCATAAATTCAAACTCTCTGTCCCAAATACAATGTTCGCATTTGGTGATAACTCCATCCAAACTCTGTATTTTGTTTGTCATGCCTTATTGAAAATGCCTTTAGTGTTTGAGTTCGGAGTCACAGCGAGCTATTGCACGGTGAAAGTTATGGGATGTGCTGCAAGTCAGAATATGTCAATGGGATATGTGCAGTAAAAATATTTGCATTTAGACTGTAGAAGCTCAGCAGTTAGCTGCAGTTTTCGCCTGATGGTTTTGGCTGCTTTGTGACTTTGTGACTTGGTTTGGTAGAGATAAAACTTCATGACCTGGTGACTGCGTTATATATGACTGTATGACTTGGTGACTGAAGGACTGAGATGTCTTCATGACCAGGTGGCTGAGATGACTTGATGAGTGAGATTTCTTTTTGACCTATTGACTGAGATGTTGCCATAACTTGATGACTTGGTGACTGATGTTTTTGTTTCCTGTTTTGGAGCTCGGAAGTTAACTTGTTAAAGAGTGAAAGTTGTTGCGGCCACTATTGTCTTGTGAAAATTGAATAGGATGCTCTCTTGGTGGGGTATTTGAAAGTCCGGTTTGATTCACACCAGGCATGAATGTGGATTATTGCATAATGCCTTGATGATACTACTTTGATTTCGTCCCATTAGCCTTAGTAGAAGTCGCAAGTCATCTTTACCCGTATTTCTTCTGTTACGCTTAAGAAATATTCTCATCTGTAGATGCATTGGTCATCATCAGACACTGACAGACAATAATAATAATATTATAATAATAAACTATTACTTTGATGTATAGTGTGGAGATCTGGCTACTTTACCCTAAATCGTTCGTGTCCATCAGAGATTTCAAATGTATGGTGTGAACTTCTTCCCACTCGGGAGCTGTGATTCTGTCAGACGGAGACGCAAGAAAGTGGGGGAGTCTTGTGTCTTACGTATACTCTTTTATATTTCTCACTGTCATCTCCATTGTTTTCAAATGGTCTGTGACCCTTCTTTCAACTAATGTTCTAAGCTTCTGCTTCAATAATATCTGATTAGTGTGATGTGAAGTGTGGAAGAGATATTATTATATACATATAGACATGAACTTTTATAGAAACATTTTAATGTATAAACAAAGAAGTTTCATTATGGCTTGATTTAGAGTGTAACAGTAGCACCACCTCTTTACCTGTTGCTAGTATATATTTGCGTAAGGTAGCCTCATATCGTACATGATAAATGGATATGGTGTAATTTTTTTGGGAGTAATTTCCATCATGTAGAAGCATTTAATCTTTGTAAAGGATGCTGAATGCTTATTATTTGTTTGTTTTGTTTTGTTTTGTTTGGGTTTTGGGGGGGGGGGGGGGGGTAACACTTATTCTGGCTGAATGATACCAGTGTATCTCCAATGCCTGTATACATTTGGCTATCTATTGGTAGAGACTGACCATGACAGTCTGACAAGTAGAAAGGCCATGTCTCAGTCTTCAGACTGCTGCCATAGGAACTGCAGATTAGTGTGGGGGGGACATTGTCTGCCCTTCCTAGACTGTCGTCTGCTGAACGCTGCATTTTAACTACTCCCTTCCTGCCTCGTCAGTTTTCCAGTAGTGTCGTCAGGGTTTCTGTCTTTTAGGTTTGGAGTTATTCCTTTTGTGTGATGTTCTCCCAACTAACACCAACCAACCCACCGTTTTGGCTTGTGGAGGTTTATGCAACACAATCACCTGCAGGAGACCTGCCTCATTATGTCAGGTCAGAAGTCGAGGGAGGTGCGGTGGGGTGTTGTTGTGGGATACAAAATTTCAAGTATTGTTTGTTTGTTTATTTGTTGTTTTTATTGTCGTTTTTATTTAGTTAAATATATTTATCTGAGGACAGCTTTTATATTTATATACACTAAAAGCAAAAGTCCTCGTCTTGTTCCTGACTTGTGCTGTGGACAAAAGGGACACGATTAGCTATGACCTCTGATCTATCAGTTATTAGCTTAAGGAAAAGCTTTTGGTGGGAAATGCCTGTGCAAAGAGGAAATGTTTCTACTTATGTATATCACAATACCAGAGTAGGCCTCCAGTAGTGGTGAGTTTGAAAGCATTGTGTTCTGACCTTCCAACTGTTCAGATGAATCTTGGAGCTCTCCAGCTATCATATTTCGAATGTTGGGTTGTTTTTGGTTGGTATTTGGGTGAGTGTGGTAGTGGAGTATGTTGCAATCCAAATGTTATTTTTGCTGTTTGGTGTCTGGATGAGTGTGGCAGTGGAGTATATCGCAAATACCTCTCACATGTCGCACGTTTGTGTGATTGGATTGTCAGCTTCAGTAATTCTGTGCTTCAGAGCAAATAAACTTAATCATGAATCATATGGTGCTTTATGTCATTGTGAATCCACTAACTTGTGGCAAGTATTCCTACAGCCCTACAATTGTGCTCCCCTCCATAGTAGCTTCTAGTATCAGACCTGAGAATAGCTTGTCGGCAAAAAAATTTTGGGTTTAGATTTAGTAATGTTAGTGTGTCTAGACGTGCGAGCTGCTGATGTTCCGTGGCTGCTGTATAATGCGTTGCCTGGCGTTAGGAGGATGGCTTGATATCAGAGTCAATACTCCTTGAACTAAATGTAGAAAAAAATAGTTTGTCGTTATTGTTGTGGGTTTGTGTGTGTGTGCACTTGCTTTTATGCGTGTGCATGTTTTTTTTCCATATGAAAGTTAGAGAGAGTGTGTGAGAGAGAGCTGATGAAGAAAGAGAGTGAACGGAAGAGTGCTGAGCCTACTTTATATACCTTTCTTACAATTTCTGATCATTCCAAGCTCCCTGTACAATCTCCTGTCTTTTATAAAGACGCACCAGCGGAACCCCCTCGTACCAGTCAGTGCAATTTGTAGTTTGTATCCCTTCTGTTCTTCCCTCAGTTCCTATTTATCCAGCTCTCACTTCCCCCCGATGTAGTAGTTTCAGTTGGTTTCTCATTTTGCCACACGGCGTCATACAGCACAGCTGGGCTATTTTGTCATCTTGAATACTGTATCATTATCCATTTGCCCGGTTGTCGTCTTAAATACTGTGTGATAATGTGCCCAGAAACATATTCTCAATCTTACACTTACACAGATCTAATTTTTGTTCCGTGTTTCTGTGTGTGTGTGTGTGTGTCTTCCTCTCCCTGTCTGCTGTGTTATGATGCACTGCAATTGGTGATGATGAAACTTTTAGCATGTGCTTGTGTTTTGTTTTGGTTTTTAAAAAAAATTTCAAATCGATTGAATTGATTTTAGCTTTGGCTTTGTTGATCTACATAATGAATGAGTTTGAATGTTGTACAACTTCATATCTACTAAAGTGATTTGGGGACAGACAGCGGAATATGTATATATTAAACTTTGTGTCCTTTGTTTTTTTCCTTTATTATTCTTTCTGTCTTTATTGTGTAAGTTTTATTCAGCACTCATCAAACTTTAATGTGTCTGTGTATTGCGTCTCAGCTGGGCAGCAAAGCACGGAACACTTGCTTCCATATTCGTCGTATTCGTGAAAAAGGGACAAGCCTGCAGGTTGTCCAGATTTTTGTAAAAGCTAAACTTTCATCCGTGTATTGATTTGGTTTTTCAAATATTTTTTTGTTATTGGTTTTCTTTTTTTTTTAAACGGGATAGCCACCGCTGCATCAGTGTGCTTGTCTTTCATACATGTATACTCCCGTACATACATACACATATATATGCTGAAGCTCTGGCTTTCTCTCTGCGTTTAACTGCTTTTATATTTGTCAGTGGTGACGCTTTGTCAAAACTTTGGGAGTCACCCTTTATATCAAAATGTTAAATTTTTTGGGTTCCACTTGTATCAATATTTTCGTCGTTTTTGATATTGTTAGTGTATCAACACGTATCAGAGAGAATGGGTTTCTGATGTGTGTCAACATTTTGTACACATGCGCCGTGGTTTCATCCGAAATATCCCACCAGGTGAGACTTCTCTGCTGTTTGATAATGATTACCTCAACACTTGAATCAGTTGCTCAAATTTATTTTGTTCTCATTCTTTTTTGTTTGTGTCTCCCCACCCCACCCCACCTCACCCCCTCCAATTTATTAAAGACTAGCCCAGTGCGCCTGACATTAAAGTCATATAAGTACTGAAGATTAGATGTGTTACAAGAGAGTAACAAATACAAATAAAAGAAGAGATAAGAGCGATAGATGTTTGATGTCACAAACTGATGGAGGAACCAGTCAGAGTTGTCATATTTTGGAAGAACCACACATCAAGTGACTAATGACACACTGTTGTTTTATGTTTTAGTAGTAGTTTTACGGCACTTGCAACGCAAATAGAGAGAGTAACAAACACAAAAAAAAGGAGAGATAAGGATGATAGATGTTTGATAGGAAAGAAGGAGCAGGAGCAAACCACACCAGAGCACCCGCCGATCACCCACTGACACACTGTGCTCATCCATTTATAAATTGGTTTGCATAGTCCTCATTCTGCTGCTTATTATGATTACAGGAGTAAATGTGAGGCGTGCTGACAAAATGAGTTACTTCTCAGATTTTATCCCAATGGAAATAGATGTGTAGCATTTATATGTTGAGTTTTTACAATATTTGTTAAACCTTTGAAGAGAATGAATGGCATTGGTTTAGAATCTACAAATATGACCCTTGTGTCAATTTTTGGCCGATATCTCCATTGATGGATTGCGAGAAGTAACTCATTTTTGTCAGCACGCTTCACAAATGTCCTTTGTGTTGGGACATCTTTATTATGTTGAAACAACATCACAGAAGAAACAGAACTCAGCCTTGCTTTATATGAGTCCGTTTACCCTCTGGTCAGTCAGCAGTGGCCATATGTCTGTCTGATAGGACAGAACAGTTCTATTGACAAGTTTTCTTTTCTAAATCTTGATGCCTGGATGTGTCGGTATCGGAACATCACCTGTGTGTCAGGATGTGTGTTTGGCACGTTGTGATAAAGTACTTTTAAAATTTTGACAGTCTTTTGTATTATTTAGGGTGCAAGACCTGCCGGATGTGCCCTTTGTTTTTTTAGTGACCAGTAGTAAAAAATGATTGCAGGTATTGAAAAAGGCATAAACGTAAGGCCCAGAACTAGAAGACAAATGCAGAAGTAGAAGGGGAGAAGACTGGTTTTTATAACGTAAAAAAGAATGATGTGTTTGCCTTTGTTGAACTGCAATGCTTTCATTGATATTTATGTATCATTGTACAGTATGTTTGCGCATGTGTTTGATGTGTTTATTTTCTTTTTGATATTGTGAAAATGACTTGCATAAAGCTATGACTTACAAACTGAGATCTACAGAGAGACCGACTGGCAGACTTACAAAGAAAGACAGAGTGAGACAGACAGACAGAGAGAAAGGGGGTGGGGGGGGGGGGGAGTGAGAGAGATAGAGAGAGTGAGAGAGACAGAGGCAGAGAGTGAGAGACTGAGGTGGAGAGAGAGAAATTAAGAGATATTGACTGAAAAGTCAGATACGTGTAAGTTTGAAATAGTGAAAATGTCCCAATCTCTGAGGCTGTGTTTCCACTACTAAGATATATTAGATGTTCTTTTGTATGTGATTGCGTGTGTGTGCGCATGTGTGTGTGTGTATGTACGTGTGCATGTGTGTGTATGTACGT